TTTGACAGCTTTAACTATGAGTCTTGATAAAATAAAAATATAAAGTTCTATACATGTGTCCTTTATCCTTTTCTAACATAATTAATTTAATCATTATTTTAGCATGAAGCGTAAGTGTAATAGTAAAACCATAATTACATATATTTACAATGCTATACACTACAATCCTACACCAGATAATTTACAATAAATTTATATATTTTACATAATTTTACAATGCTACAACATTAAAAATAACATTTGCAATAAAGATATATGTTACACTTCTTTCTGAATAAATCTTGTCTTTTCAACATTTAACTTTATTACAATTAATTAATTATTTATTATTTAGTCTATTCATTTTATTGTTTGTTTATTTATCCATTCCCGCTTATAATTCTTCTACACAAATTTTATTCTATTATATATTTGAAACTAAAAGTTTATATAATTTATAATATAATATTAGTATATTGTTATTAGGTAATTAGTTATTATTATATATTGTTAATTAATTTAATAAATTATTTTAATTTCCTATATATTTATAATTGTTATATATATATATATATATATATATATATATATATATATTACAAAAATAAAATATAACATTGTAATTACTTATATAATTCATAAATAATATAATTCCAATACACTGTATTTGAAAATTTGTATTTTAATTTTTTTATATTATAATACAACTATTATAAAGAAGAAATAAAAGAGTACAAAAGTTTTCTCAAACAAGTCATCCTTCACCACCAAGCTTAAACTCTTGTTTGTTGGTTTGTAAATTGTCATTTTTCGCTTGAGCAAGCATTTTATTTCATTGCTAAAGTTAACCCCTTTGTTTTAATTTGTATATTGCTTGACTGTTAAATGGTTACTCAAATGATATTTTTTTCTTAATTAAATACTTTTATTATCAAAAGTTGAATTAAAGTTTGAACACTCCTTTAGCTTCACATTGAACTTTATTGTGTTTTAAAACTAGCATCCCTTGCTTAAGCGTTGTTTGGACATTTGAGTGATCAAAGAACAATAAACAATTATTACTTGAACAACGTGAGAGCCCTAAATTGACATTTCTTTAACTATTTTTTTTCTTTAATTTTTTGCAAAAAATAAACATATTTAGAATAAAAAATATATTACCAATATATTATTATATTATTCAGGTTTCTCTAGGAAAATAAATCTATCTAATGTGGATAATACTTGCTTTATTTTGGTCGTATAATGCTTTATGTTTTTAAGGTTATCTAATGCATTTTAATTTTAGAACATATAGTCTTTGTTGTCGTTTAATAACTATGTTTTTCATTTGTCTAGTGCTTCATAATCATTTAGTCTTAGAGTCATCTAAAGCCTTATTTTCACGTCTGATGGTTATTTCATATTTTATATTTTCGAATAGTTTAGTACTCATTTTGCATGTCATCACATGCCTCATTTTAATGATTGTTTGTTAGGTCGTATAATGTTTTCTCTTTCTAGTCATCTAAGGATATACAACTTGCTAGTCATCTAACTTGTGATTGTTTTGCTTAATCATCAAATGTCTTTAGGAGTTGTCTAATACTTTCAGTTCAAGTTTCTAATGCTTTGTTGTTGTTTCTTTTATCTTCTTTTGTCTTAGGCTTGTTTCATTTAATACACTTTTTTTCTTAGTTTTATAACATGTTTAATTTCCAATTTTAATTGCTTTCTTTAATGTGATTCAACAACCTTACGAATTCAATACCACCACCTTGTTGGCTTATTCTCTAAATTGACCTGAGTTGATCTCTATATTGCATTAGTAAAGAGGGGGACTTAATTTTTATTTGATTGGCTTGTACGACAAAAGAACACTCATTTAGAGATGACGCATTTCATAGGATCAAGGCTTTCCAACTAGAGGGGTGGTTCATGTAACCAAAAATTTACCCACATCATGTGGACCTATGTCTTGCTTAGCCAAAATGTTTTTGGTTGAGCCAAACTATGAATAAACTTCTCTTATGTAACATTATGTTTTGATTATACCAATTCTCGTCACTCTTGGTCAGACCTATCAAGTTTAACAATCTAAACACTTTTTCCATAAGCTACAACACAAAACTAACATTATAATTATTCATGAACCTTGATTCACAAAATCACCATGACAAATGCAACATAACTAAAAAAAAAGAACACATAAGCCTAAAATACACCAATCAACATATTTACAATACTAGATCATGAAAGCAACAATCACAATGAACTTAACAAACAACAAGTAACATAAGAACTAAAAGAAATAATTATGCAACATGAATGAACTTAAAAACAAACACAAAACAAGGTTGGGCTTAAGTCTTTGTCGTCCACAATCCAAGTCTTTTGAGTATTTGGGTATCCAATCTCCATCACTCTATAGGACTTAACTCCCTTAATGACAAGTGGTCCTAACCACTTTGATTTGAGCTTTCCAGATAATAACTTCATCCTAGAATTAAACAATAACACTTGTTAGTCTAGTTTGAAATCTCTCTTTAACAACTTCTTCTCATGATAACTCTTGACCTTTTGTTTATACACCTTCGATGACTTATAAGCATTATGTCTCATTTCTTTTAGTTCTTGCAATTGAAGCTTTCTCTTTTCTCTTGCCACTCTTTGGTCAAAGTTAAAGAATTTGGTGTCCCATACTTGATGTTTAGCTTAGTGAGTGAAATAGTCTAGACAGTTGTTTAGGGTTGAACCAAAAGTGGTTAGAATACTTGTATACCAAGAGTGATTAAACTCGGACTAGTCGTGTTAACTATGTGAACTAAGCATGGTGAGAATACTCATTATAAACCTAAAGAGGTAAAACTCGTGTACACCATTTGGTCCTTTCAATGTGGTCCAAAAGATCAATGACAATGCATATAGATTAGAACTTCCCATTGCATATGGTGTCAATCCTACTTTTAACATTTGTGACTTAATTTCTTTCGTAGGAGTTGATGACCAGGAGGAAGATTTGAGGAAAAATCATTTTCTAGAGGGAGGGTATTATGGAGGACCATCTAAAGGACACATTGGATCTCTCACTAAAGCAATGGCAAAGACGATGGAATAGGAAGATAAACCTCAAAGAACTGTACTTTTGTGAAGGATTACTTATTAGTCTCTTTCTTTCTCTTAAAACCTTTGAAAAACTTGTACATATCTTTCTTTTAGGCCTTGTATTTGGGCCAAGAATTTTGTTTAGTGTTGATTACATTAGATTAGCACAAGATTAGGAGGATTAATGCTAGTTTTTGTGCTTTGAGTATCATTAGCACCACTTTGGGCTTGCTTTGGGCCTGGGAAGAGTCATTTGGACTTATAAGGGTGAAGGAGCATCCCCCTTGGCCAGTCAATTAAGGGAGAGGCTCCTATGCATCCTCCTTGGACGGTTGATGAAGGGAAAGACTCACATTCACTCCCCTTGGACAAAGGAAACTTCTAAGACATTTTGAAGTTCAAAGCACCTCTTGTACATGAACTCTTTTCTTTCTAGAAAGTTCTCCTTCTCTTATAAAAGGAGAGCTCCTCCTCTTGTAAATTCATCTTGGAATTAATGATAATGAAACTTTGCCAAATTGCATTCTCACTTTCTCTAAGATCAAGTAAGTTGTGTCTTCTTCTAAGACTCTTCCTAGCTCCTCTCTTGCAAGGTTAGTCAAACTTCCTTCAAGAAACTCTTACTAAACCACTCTTCATCAAGCACTTCCTTCATAATTCAAGTCTTCCGCAAGCTATTCTAGGACTCATCATCAAGCTCCTTGAAGAGGGTTCCATCAATAAGATAAGAGAAAACCTAATAGCATGTGACACAAGACCTAAATCTAGTTAGAATAAACTTTTAATGGTTTTTATATCATCTTAAAAAGTAAATTTTTAGTTTAATTCAATTTTATAAAATTGAGTTATAAGATATAGATTGCAACTCAGGTATATAACATATAACGTGATTTTATTCTTAGTTGATGTGATATATCTAAGAATTTTGCTTAGGTTCATTCTAGCCAGAATTTCGGCAATAGCACCTCCTACATGAGCTGCATCACCCATCCCCTCCTAGAAATTTGGACTATCCCCTAGCCAAGCCATGGTTTCAACAAATAGTTGCAAAGATACCCAAGGCAACAACGATGTGGGGTTTTCATGTTGATGAATTATAAGTCCGTAGAATGATTAATTCAAACAAGTATATGATTTTATTAGTCAGATACTTGTTGCAAGTGACAGAAATTTGTAGACACGTAACTTTGTAAACAAGATAAATCAGCATGAGTTGCGGTTGGGGCTCTATAGTGTCGCTCAGGTCTGGTTGTGAGTGCCTGTGTCTCATCCAACGCATTTGCGCAGTCAATTTCAATGTAATACTAATTAATTGCATGACCGATGCGTTTTATTTTGACTGGGAATTTGCATTCCATCGTGCTTGCAGAGTCATTGTTCAAACTTGGAAATCCAAGAGGTTCTACAGCATCATTAGAGGATGCTTTTGATGTGACAAAACATGAGGATCTCGCAAAACATTATCCCAGCCACATCGACGTTGTATTGGCTCAAGAGAGTATATATTAAATTGGCCTTATCTACCTTTACATAAAATTGTATTCCTCATAATGTAAATGTTTCCTTAACTTCAAATTTAAGACTATTGTCAAGATTATTTTAATTATTCAGTATAATCTGCATAAGCTTCCTCTCAATTACTATAAACATAAGTAGAAGGCATTTTATTTAAAAATTATAGAAAATACACACAAGCTCTTCAGCAGAACCAAATGGTAGGAGGAGAATTATAAACAAAAATTGGAAGAGATTCACCTCCTCTGAATTTCACCACATTTCATTATTTTCAAGACTAATCTCTCAAAATACTAAAATTAGTCTCTTCCAACATATGTTTTTCCATACTACAAACCTAAAGATCAAACTCCTATTGACAAAGGACTATTTGTCAACCTTGCCTTTTAAAATTTGATTCACATATTTATAGATGACCTGTAATCAATCATTCAATTGTACACAAATCAAAACACCTGAAAAATGAGGAACACGGTTTTTAGGTACTATAAACATGAAAAATGTCAAGACAACAACTCTATACGTTCCTTTTTAGTTACAAGTACATTGAAGAATAACCACTGGAAATTGGAATGAACCAATAAGAAATCACTACATTACTTCACCTCTTCAGACAGCTTTGGACAAAAAATCATAAATTCCCAAAAAAAACTTACACGAAACAAGCATCTATTCTTCATCCGAATTTGGAAAGCGTTTCTGTAGTTGAATACAAAGTTCTGATATTCGGGACAGTAATTTATGCTGTTGGTCTAGGGAGTTTAATGAATGAGTACTAGTTAATTTTATGGGATTATCAAGCACCTGTTGAAGTTGAAAACAGAGCTGCGATGCTTCTGGGTCATTTTTGCAAGTTTCAGCTATAAGTTGCAGCAATTTAAAGGTTTGATCTTGGAACAAAGATTGATGACATGGAACTGGGGGAACTAAAAAAGGATGCTGGAGCAACTGAGGAATTCTCCACCTTTCATTGCGATCCCATGCTAGACACTTTTTCATAAGATCAAGAAGCCAAGGATTTGAAACTGGTTCGTACATAATTTCGTGATTGGGATCAGTTATAACTTTGAATTTGGCCCAAAATGTCTTGTATTCTGAAAAGGGTGTTCTCCCATATACCATTTGATAAAGAATGCAGCCAAGGGACCAGATATCTGATGGCCGACCACACTTCATGATGCTTCCACTCGCATCACTCTCATTGCACATAAAGGCTTCTGGTGACATGTAACTTAGAGTACCAACCTATAGTAGAAAGAAAATTAAATAAAAATTTAACATTTTCTGATATATTTGATCTTGTAAAGCTTAGAAATATATGGGCCAACTATTCACATGACAGGTATATCTTCTTGCACCAATAAAATTTGTTGGGTCATCTCTCATTCACTCCAGAATGGGCTTTTAGCAATCAATTTTTTAATATTCCAGAAAAACCATCATGGAATAAATGGGAGTGGCCCAATAATTTGATTGGGCAGGCGAAGATAAGCCCTCACATGACTTTAGAGATGTCATAGAGGTTGAAGACTACCATTTCACTCCGGAATGGGCTTTTAGCAATCAATTTTTTAATATTCCAGAAAAACCATCATGGAATAAATGGGAGTGGCCCAATAATTTCATTGGGCAGACGAATATAAGCCCTCACATGACTTTTAAGATGTCATAGAGGTTGAAGACTACCATGCCCCCATTTTTCAGTATCCAAACCATGGGCCTTGAGTTGGAAAACATATATAGCATGACAAATACGAAGGGGCAGAATGGGAACTACATAGAACTAGTTATTGGAGAACAAATATCGTGCAATGCCTTTGTGAGATAAAAAAGTTAGCTTTTTCTTCTGTTCGGTGTGGAAAAAGGTGTGAATCTTTGCAGGAGCACTATTCTTGTCCACAAATAATATATATCATATCTTTCTCCATCTTAGCCTGTGATAGAATAGTTTATATTATTTTCTGAAGAAAGGCTGTTTGTATCTATATGTAACCTATTATCATAGGCGTTCTTTTTATCCCTTTCCTTATTGTAAGCAACAAATCTTTATAAGTATATAAATATGAATAAACAATGAGATATAACTTAAAGACCTCTTAGAGAGTTTATATGGTCTCTTTAAGTTGATATCAGAGAGTTTATCCCGGTCAGCCTGTCTTGTCTCTGACAAGAAATCACTTTTGGGGTAAGGAAACACATCTCTCCCTCTACTCTGTGGCATCCCTTTAGGAAAGTCCCGTCCCTAGATTTAAGCCATTAAGCAAAACAAGATGTGTAGTAACCTTAATCTTGGTATGAGATCCTTCATTGATATAAACAGGATGCTTAAGGTGCTCAACAATTGACACATCATCAGTAACCTCAAGACCTTCTCTGTTTACAACCTCAACACCTTTCTTCAGCATCTCAAACTTAATATCTTGTCGGGTATGTATATCCCATAGAGTTTTCCTGTATAGTGTTTTAACTACAAGTCATTCATTGTTTGCCTCCTTGATTGTAGCATTCATAGGGACACCAAGAACCGCAGCTCCATTCAATAATCCATCTGGAAGGACCTGTTGTAATTAGAGAAGATATCTTTAGAATCTTCCTAATTAGAGAAAATAGATATATAATCTTCTATTTTATTTTGTTTACCTAGTTTCCCTATTTCTCTTTTTAGAAGAATTAGATTGTTACAAATAGAGGATATGAGAATGTATTTTTTAAGATTCTGAATAATAAAATTAGTCCTATTTTCAACTTGGTGTCAGAGCTCCCGATCTTGGGGCTCCGTTCCGCTGCACAGTCGCGCCGCATCCGCTGTCCGACCACTGCTGCCGTCGCCGGTTGGGGTCGTTGATAGGGCAGAAAGGTGCGCCCAACGCCGACGACCACAACGCCGGAAGTCGCTCCGTGAGAGAAGCCGCCACGTGTCACCGCCGTTGCCGGAGCTTCCTGAGTCTGTTCCTAGGGTGGTGACGACCCGTTTGGCCTATATTTGAGTATATCTGAGCTTTTAAGTTCTCCTCCTTTTCTCTCGGTGTGACCCACACACCGTCGTCGTCTCGGAACAGGTCACTGGAGACTCCTGGTTGCGTTCTACGGGATGTCTAAAGTAAAATTTATTCCTTTGTGCCTTCATTAAAAAAGGATCTCGAGCACTTGAAAGCAATGGTTGAATCAATGAGTAAGCCCTCTGGATCATGTACTTTGTCCATAAAAGGAAAGATTTGTCTCAATACTGTTGGTCATATGTCTGAAGGTATTTGGATCCTTGATTCGGGTGCAACTGATCATATGACACCTTGTAGTGTGTCCTTCTACTCATATGGTAAAAGAAATAAAGAACAACCTATTACAGTTGCGAATGGTCAAGGTATACCTATATGTGGCTCTAGGAATATAATTTTGGACTCATCTATTGTATTGAAGGATGTTTTACATGTTTCTCAATTAGCTAATAGTCTTATCTCTGTGCAAAAACTCAAAGGATTTAAATTGTTCAGTAACATTTTTTTCCAACCTATTGTGTTTTTCAGGACCTTGCCACGGGGAAGACAATTTTAACTGCTAAGGAACAAAGTGGGTTGTATTTTTTAGAGTTTGATGACCAAAGCAACCCGAAAATCATTAATCAACAAGCAACATTTGAGACGTGGGCAAAATCCTAAATATGGTTACATCATCAAAGGCTTGGGCATCCTATCAAGTCCTTATTTCCCCACTTGTTTACAAAGAGTTTGTTGAGTCTTTTAATTGTGATATTTGTCAATTTTCAAAACACCATCGTGCATCTTATCCTATTAGTCATAAAAAGAGTATTTCTCCATTTGCTTTAATTCACTCTAATGTTTGGGGTCCTGTCATAGATTCTATTTCTGGAGCCAAATGGTTCATTACCTTTATTAACGATTGTACACGTGTCACGTGGACATACCTTATTAAAAATAAATCTAAAGTTTTTCAAATTTTTGTTAATTTTTTCCATCTTGTCCAAAATCAATTTGGAAAATATATCAAAAGAATTAGGTCTGTTAATGGTACTGAATATGTGAATCATGAATTTCTCAATTTTTTGTCTCATAATGGTATTGTTCATGAACTAACATGTGTTAACACCCCTCAACAAAATGGGGTTGCAGAAAGAAAGAATCGTCATCTTCTTGAAGTAACTAAAGCTCTTCTTTTTCAAATGTTTGTTCCAAAAAATTACTGGGGAGAAGTTGTGTTAACTGCCACATATCTCATCAACAGGTTACTCACTCGTATCTTAAATGGCATTAGTCCTATAGAGTCTCTATTGTCTTTTGTTCCTTCTTCTTCCCTACTAACGAGTCTACCTAGTCGAGTCTTTGGATGTGTTGTTTTTGTTCACTCTCATCATCTTAACC